TAAACCTTGAGCCCTGTCCTAAACCCTAAAACCCTAAACCCTTGCCTAAGCCCTAAACCCTAAACCTAAACCAACCCGAGCCCGACACCTTCAACCGTCAACCAGGCCTTGAGAAACGCGCGTGTGGAGTCCACTGACATTGTGCGGGGACGCAACACAACGATCTGGCCGGGGGGCCCTGGCACTTTCTGAAGCCTTTTTTCTTGAGGGTTTAGGGTTTAGGGTTCAGAGTTTGGGGTTTGGGGTTTAGGGTTTGGGGTTATGGGGTTTAGGTATAGGGTTCAGAGTTTCGGGTTGTTTGGGGTCTAGGGTGTAGGGTTCAGAGTTTAGGGTTTGGGGTTTAGGCAAAGGGTTCAGAGTTGTTTAGGGTCTTTGGCGTAGGGTTCTGAGTTTAGGGTTTGGGGTTTAGGGTGTAGGGTTCAGAGGTTAGGGTTTGGGGTTTGGGGTGTAGGGTTCAGAGTTTAGGGTTTGGAGTTTAGGGTTTAGGGTGTAGGGTTCAGAGTTCAGGGTCTGGGGTTCGGGGTCTAGGGTGTAGGGTGCAGGGTTTAGGGTTTAGGTTTTGGGGAGTGTGCGGCCTTTGGGGTCCAGTTCCGTTTGCTTTGTGGTAGGGCTTTTGGGTTTTGGGGTTCAGGGCTGAGGGTTTGGTTCTGGGGTTCAGGGTTCAGGGTTTAGGGTTAAGGGTTTAGGGTTTTAGGGTTGAGGGTTTAGGGTTGAGGGTTTTGGGTTTAGGGGTTTTGGGGTTCAGGGTTTAGGGTTTGGTTTAGGGTTTAGGGTTTAGGGTTAAGGGTTGAGGGTTTTAGGGTTGAGGGTTTTGGGGTTTCTGGGCTGTCAAGGCTGTTCATCGAGCTAGTCACCCGAATTGAGCCGGAGGGCGCGCTGGAGGCCTCCTGGGGGTGCAGGTTTCGGGTTTGGCGATTTGGGGTTGGTTTTCTCAAGTCTTGGGGTTTAGGGTTTAGGGTTTAGGGTTTAGGGTTTAGGGTTTAGGGTTTAGGGTTTAGGGTTTAGGGTTTAGGGTGTAGGGCTGAGGGTTGAGGGTTTTAGGTTTAGGGTTTAGGGTGTAGGGTTTAGGGTGTAGGGCTGAGGGTTGAGGGTTTTTAGGTTTTAGGTGTAGGGTTGATAAAGGTCAAGGGTTCAGGGCGTAGGTTATAAACAGTTCTGGGATGAGGGTGAACTAGGGTTTTGGGTTCATCGGCGTGTCGTGTGCCGGCTGAAAAGGTTATGCTGGGGTCTATGAGGGGTTAATATCATGGCTGTTAACAAAGGCAGCACCCTAGACTCTAATCCCTAAAACCTAAACCCTAAACCCTAAACCCTAAGCCCTGAACCCTAAACCCTAAACCCTAAGCCCTAAACCCTAAACCCCGAACCCTTAGTTAATAAAGGCCGCCAACATGGGTTTGTTACACCCTAGCCCGAAACCCTAGACCCTAAACCCCAAACCCCAAACCCTAAACCCTAAACCCATCTACCTTAGTCCCTTTATACTCGGACCCCAAAGGCCGTACTTATATAGGAGGTGGTTTAGGGCCCGTGTACTCCCTATTTAGGTGCATGGACCCTGAGGGCATTTTTGAACTGGACAAGTAAGCCCCAAACCCCCGATTGCAAGACCTGAAACCTTAAATCCCATCCGCTAGGACCCTGGACACCAAACCTCCAAAGACGTGTGGATGTGACTCCAAGCAAAACCCTAAACCCTAAAGCCTAAACCCCTAAACCCTAAACGGCAACCTTTGCCCTGCGTCGGAGTTTGACAAGAAGCCAGACACTGACTGCTTCTAGGGATTTTGGGGCCAATTGGGGGGGGCTTGTCAGGTTTCGGTAATGTGTTGTTTTAGGAGGCGTGTTGATGTTAAATCTGGTGGTTTCATGTGTATATACATATATACACATTTGTTTATGCATATACTATGTTATAACCCTAAACCCTAAACCCTAATCCCTAAACCCTAAACTCTAAACCCTAAACCCTAAACCCTAACCCCTAAACCCTAAACTCTAAACCCTCAACCCTAAACCCTAAACCCTCGTTTTTTTGGAGCCGGTTTCGATCGGCTTGAGGGGCCTTTGGTTTGGTTTGCCCTGGAGGTCGTGTGGCCGTACCAGCAGATGGAGATCGATAACTATCCAGCAGGGGCCCCAAGAGCAGGCAGTAGAATTGAAAAACCCTAAACCCTAAATTTAAGAGCCTCCGGCTCAAGCCGCCGACCCCGCAGGAGAACTTGGTGGATTGGGTTTGCGGTCGGTTCGGGTCTGGGTGGGGGGGTGGGGGGTGGGGCCAGCCTGGCGGAAGGTTTGGGCGGGGGCTAGGGGGGGGGGGGGCGGGGGAAGGGGGAGTGGGGGAGTGGGTGGGGGGGGGGGGGGGGGGGAGGGGGGGCTTAGGGGCGGGGGGGGTTAGGGGGGAAGAGCCCCTATGCCCTGTGCGAAACCGCCTATGGTGCATGAGTTTACGCGGTGTGGGTGGGGAGGGAAAGAGGGAGGTTTTCACCTCCAGAAACCCATCCAACACGCCGCCAAACCCTAAACCCAAACCCCAAACCCTAAACCCTAAACCCTGAATTTGAGCCTTACGGAAGTCCTTAGCACAGCAGTTCTTGCACTTGCGCATGGCTGAGGATGGTTGTCAGTGAGTAAGGAACCCCCCCTCTCCCCCCCGGTTTAGGGTTTTGGGTTTCTGGCTTTAGGCTTTAGGGTTTAGGGCGCCCCCTCCCCCCACCCCCTCCCCCCCCCTGTCCTCTTGTCTTGTGTGTAAGTGCCGGCAATGACGGCATCAAAGGATGCCCAGTGGCGCCCTTCCAGCATGTCATGGCCCTATAAGTCCCAATTCCGAACATCTCAGACGTTTGGAGCCTGAACCTTGATAGAATCCTATACTGTTGTGTAGTGCCGGGTTTAGGGTTTAGGGTTTAGGGTTTGGGGTTTAGGGTTTAGGGTCCCCAAACCTCCCCTCAACTCGCACCAAAGGACTTCGTTGAAGACACCCGGTATCTCACGGTGCGTGCGGCCACGGCGCCGCCCTTAGCGTGTTGTGCTTTTTGCCTAGGGGTTGCAGGTTGGGTTGAGGTGTTAGGGTCTAGGGGAAACCCGGAAAGCTAAACCCTTAAACCCCTAAACCCTTGAACCCTAAACCCTTAGTTAGGAGTTGAGGGTTGTGGGTTTTACAGTGCACGGTCCGGCGTGGTTCGAAAGTTGGCTGCAACGGCTGAGCTGTCTAAATCCTACACCACCCCTCGAGGGGATAGGAGCCATTGCATCACGGGGATGCGGTGCGCGTCCAGCGTGGGGTTTAGGGTTTAGGGTTTAGGGTTTAGGGTTTAGGGTTTAGTGTTTAGGGTTTAGGGTTTAGGGTTTAGGCTTAACCCTAAGCCCATAAAGCTTAAGTGATTTCATCGCCCCTATTCAAGCCTGAACAACATCCTGCAATTTAGGGTTTAGGGTGTAGGGTTTGGGGTTTAGGGTTTGGGGTTTGGGGTTTAGGGTTTGGGGTTTAGCTAAACCCTAAACCCCCTCAGCTCCTAAGCCTCTTCTCTAGGGTTCTCGGGAGTATTAGGGAACCTTAGGTTTTAGGGTTTAGGGTTTGGGGTTTAGGGTTTAAGGTTTAGGGTTTAGGGTTTAGGGTACTCCCCCCTTGACTTGTCATTTACTCCTAGCATGTTTGCAGCACGCTGATCCACCACAGGAGCCTCGTTCACACTTAGGTTTTGTGTTCTGCCATCCGCCATGGCGAAGGCGAAAGCCAGTGCACAGAATAAGACCAAAGCACCAAAGTCGACAGTGGCCAAGAGCAAGCCAGGAAAGTTCGCCAAAGGTGCTGGCAAGCCGAAGGCCAAGACTGAGTTACAAGGTTCAGGGTTTAGGGTTTAGGGTTTAGGGTTTAGGGTTTAGGGTTTAGGGTTTAGGGCTTTTATTCCAAGGCTTTGAAGAAGCCAACCAGGACAGAGCTGGGCGAGCAAACCCACGAGACCCCCAGCAGCTCTACCGCTACCCCTTGGGCTTCTCTCCTGGAGAAGAAGGTTTGGGGTTTAGGGTTTAGGGTTTGGGGTTTAGGGTTTAGGGCTTAGGGTTTAGGTTTAGGGTTTAGGGTGTAGGGCCCTCCACGTGCCTTCTGCCTGGCTGCGGACAACGCTGGGTGGACGAACCACACGGCCGATTCCGCACCTCTCAACCCCAAACCCCAAACCCTACTGCACCCTACACCCCAAACCCCAAACCCCAAACCCCAAACCCCGAACCCCAAACCCCAAACCCCAAACCCCAAACCCCAAACCCTAAACCCTAAACCCCAAACCCTAAACAACCCTAAACCCCAAACCCTAAACCCTAAACCCTAAACCCTAAACCCTAAACCCTTGCCAAGGAGTTGGGTTCCCTACCGGCGCCTCGAGGACTTCGCTGCAGGCGGCGGGAGGGCCTGTGATCTGAGGAGTGTTTGGGGGTGGTTTCGGTTTAGGGTTTAGGGTTTGGGGTTTGGGGTTTAGGGTTTAGGGTTTAGGGTTTAGGGTTTAGGGTTTAGGGTTTAGGGTTTAGGGTTTAGGGTTTGCTGCAATATGGTGGTTTACGATACTTGGGGGTACCATGGTGGTAGCAAGCAAGCACATAAGCAGACCCTAAACCTGAAACGGCCATCTTGGCTCAAACCCTCAGTGCTCATAGGGATAGCAGAGGAGCTCAGGGTTCAAACTTGCCCTAAACCTTAAGGCCTGAAATCCAAAATCCTAAACCCTACCTGTGCCCACAAACCCGACAGAACAGTAGGTTTATGAGGCCTTACTTGGAGGCCTTGAAACGGCAGGTTAGTTGTGATTGGCTTCACAGGTAAAACCTAAATACTGTGTGAGTTATCAAAACCCAAAATTACTAAACCCTGAACCTCTAAACCCTAAGCCCTAAGCCCTAAGCCCTAAGCCCTAAGCCCTAAGCCCTAAGCCCTAAACCCTAAACCCTAAACCCTAAACCCTAAACCCTAAACCGTATGCTTTAAAGGAGCACTTCTTGAAGCCATGGCTTTCAGCTCCAAAGGTCTCGGCCTCGGGCTCCTGGCAATGGCCTCCATCCTACAACAGGCGGCGGCGCGGGCTGCGCATGCTGAGACTTCACTGAAGGGGGTCGAGCTTCCAAATCGGACGATTCGGGTCGGGTCGCAGCTCATTTCGGTGCAGTGGTCCCCGGATGGAGCGAACTTGGTCTCTGGCTCCACGGACACCATGGTTCGTGTGTGGGATGCCGCCACAGGCACGTGCTTGCAAACGCTCACTGGCCACAAGCAAAAGGTGAGCTCCGTGGCCTACAGCCCAGACGGCACCCACGTCGTTTCCGGAAGTTGGGACGCGACCCTCAAGGTGTGGGATGCCATCACCGGTAGGTGCGTGCAAACGCTCACCGGTCACGACAAGGCCGTAGCTTCCGTGGCCTACAGCCCGGACGGTTCTAAGATAGTTTCCGGAAGTTACGACAACACCATCAAGGTTTGGGATGCCAGGTCGGGTGAGTGCCTGCGGACATTGACCGACCACTCGTTCATCTACTGCGTGGCCTACAGTCCGGATGGCGCCCACATCATTTCAGGCAACTCCAACAAGACCGTCAAGATGTGGGATGTCGCCACCGGCGCCCTCTTGGAGACGTTCGCTGGCCACGCCATGGCCGTCAGCTCCGTGGCCTACAGCCCGGATGGAGCCCACGTCATGTCCGGAAGTTGGGATGGGACCATCAAGGTGTGGGATGCCGCCTCGGGCACCTGCTTGCAGACACTCACCTGTGGGGTCCTTTCATCTGTGAACTCTGTGGCCTACAGTCCGGATGGAGCCAACTTCATTTCCGGAAGTGAGGACGGGATCATCAAAGTGTGGGATGCCGGGTCTGGCACGTGCATGCAGGAGCTGAACAGTCACGCCGGTAATGTGACTTCCGTGGCCTACAGCCCATATGGCGCCCAGATCCTTTCAGGAAGCAATGACGAGTACTCGCAGGGGACAATCATAATCTGGTACGCGCCGGTAAAGCTGCAGAGCTTCGTTTGACTGCTCGCCGCGAGGAGCACTCCTGGCGCCGCTTGGGCGCTGATCACCGCGACGTTGGACCAAAAGCCTTGCAGAGCCGTGGGGAGAAACAGACCCCAAAAGGCTCTAATTAAGCCCCTGAACCTTCAACCCCGAACCCTAAACGGCCCTTAACCCTGAACCCTAAATCCTAAACCCTAAACCCCAAACCCTAAACCCTAAACCCAAAACTTAAAACCTCCCCCTCAGGAAGCCTGCCCCTTGAGCCCTACACGCACTCCGAACCCCGAAGCCCCCAAGCCCCGAGCCCCCTGAGGCATCCAAAAGCGGATGGTTGACATTCGGCTCTGCCCTTTTTATGGGTTTCGAGTTTCGGGTTTCGGGTTTCGGGTTTAGGGTTTAGGACGAACTAAACTCTAGACCCCAAACCCCAAGCCGTAAACCCCAAGCCCTAAACCTTGAACCTCAAACTGCCAAGGGACCCTAAAGTCAGACCAATCCTACGCTGCCTCGACCACTGTCCAGGTGGGTCTGGTTCATTGGGGCCCTGGAGAAGGCAGGGTTGAGGGACGTTTAGGGTTTAGGGTTTGCAACCATGGGGTTTAGGGTTTAGGGTTTAGGGTTTAGGGTTTAGGGTTTAGGGTTTAGGGTTTAGGGTTTAGGGTTTAGGGTTTAGGGTTTAGGGTTTAGGGTTTAGGGTTGTCTAGGATTTCTAGGGCCCAGGGTTCGGGGTTTCGGGGTTTCGGGTGTGCAGGGTACGGGTTGCGTCTCGGGTTTACCCGCAGCAAGGCCTTTGGGCCTGGGAGTGAAGATCGCGCTGGAGTCGTGGTGTAGATGAAAGCGGAAACAGACCCTAAACCCTAAACCCTAAACCCTAAACACTAAACCCCAAACCCTAAACCCTAAACCCTAAGCCCTAAACCCTAAACCCTAAACCATTCGCACGGGCCAAGAGTGCTCGAGGTGTGAGGCCTCTGGCATTTGGGATTTAGGGTTTGGGGGTTCCGAAATGGTTGAGATTCTAGTGGTGAGATTCTTGTAGTTTAGGGTGAGGTAGGTAAACAAGTAGCAGTTGGAAGTTTAGGGTTCAGGGCTTGGGGCTTAGGGTTTTGGGTTTAAGCCCTAAATCCTAAACCCTAAACCCCAAGCCCCAAGCCCTAAACCCTAAACCCTAAACCCTAAACCCCAAACCCCAAACCCTAAACCCTATACCCTAAACCCTAAACCCTAAACCCTAAACCCTCAACCCTCAACCCTAAACCCTCTTTGGTTTAGGGCTTAGGGCTTCTAAGCAACCTCAGCACCCAAAAACAGAGCTCCAGGCAGCAGATGATCCCTAGGGTGCGTCCTTGGAACCCTAAACCATAAACCCTAAACCCTAAACCCTAAACCCTAAACCCTAAACCCCAAACCCTCAACCCTACACCCTGAACCCCAAACAGCGCTGCCTCGAGATCGGCGACTACCTGGGCACCCCTCTGGGTGAAGTTCGGATTGAGTTTCGCGCCAACACCACAGGCGCCGTTTTGCAGGATTCGGGGTTCAGGGCTCAAGGTTTTAGGGCTGACCCTAAACCCTAACCCCGGCCCCAAACCCTAAACCCTAAACCCCAAACCTAAACGCTTAACCCCAAACCCTAAACCCCAAACCCGAAACCCTAAACGCTAAACCCCAAAAGGCTCGTGGCTCAGGTCTTAGGACTCTGATGAAATATTCTGCTCAAACCTCAGAATGGCCTTGAAGACTTCCCGAAAGTTGCCAACATGGTTCCTGTGGCCCCACACTTAGAAGCTCTGTTTAGTGTCTAGGGTGTAGGGTTTAGGGTTTAGGGTTTAGGGTTTAGGGATTAGGGGGTTTTGGACTTAGCAAGTCTGCTCCCCCAAAGTATCCTTACAAACCCTACTATAATCCCCACAACCAACACCTTGCTAACCCTACTTACAAACTCAAGGAGGGCTTCCGAGTACGGCTTAGCATGTATGGAGCTGCTTGACCAGTGGAGCCTGCTACGCCTAAGTCCTTAAAGCCTGAGACATCAAAGCCCAAGCCCCAAACTCTGAACCCTAGTAACGCGGGCTCCAAACCCTAAACCCTAAACCCTAAACCCTAAACCCTAAACCCTAAACCCAAAACCCTAAACCCTAAACCCTAAACCCTAAACCCTAAACCCTAAACCCTAAACCCTAAACCCGAAACCCTAAACCCTAAACCCCAAACCCTAAACACCGTAAACGCAGCTGCCAGGCTTCGACCCTGGCCTCTACATCTTCGAGTTCAACGGGTCGAACCCGGTCTTAGCAGCCGTGCCGCCGAGCTCGCTTCGCCTTACTTGGAAGCCCTCTTGACTTAGCAAGTAGGGTTAGTCCCTAATCCCTAAACCCTAAACCCTAAACCCTAAACCCTAAAACCTAAACCCTAAACCCTAAACCCTAAATTTAAACGCTAAACCCTAAACCCCCTACACCCTAAACCCCCTACACCCTAAACCCTAAACCCTAAACCCTAAACCCTAAACCCTAAACCCTAAACCCTAAACCCTAAACCGATTGCACAGAATAGGGTTTCTGGTAGGCCTTCGAAATACGTTCTGTTTTCCCTTACTGGGTTTAAGAGGATCATATTCACGAACATTTTTCAGAGGGTCTTAAGGGCCATCCTAGGCTTTCCAGAATTCTAGAACTTAGGCAGTAGGGCTTGACTGGGTTGAAGGTCCCCAACCCTGCCCCCCCCCGCCTCCCCTGCCCAAAAAACAACCCTACAGGAATTAGGGTTTAGTAAGGGTAAACCTAAATCCTAGACCCTTAACTCTAAACCCTAAACCCTAAACTTAGGGTTGCAGTGTAGTGTAGGGTGTAGGCCTCCAGGACTTTAAGATTGCAGCGCTTCTTCAACTATTGGCTTTCAGTCGCTGCGCCTCTGACCAAATACATAGCAGCCCTCAACCCTCAACCCTCAACCCTCAACCCTAAACCCTAAACCCTAAACCGGCTCAAGCCGCCGACCCGCAGGAGAACAAGTTTAAGGTTTGGGGTTTGGTGATTTTGTTTGCGGTTCCTGTTGCGGGGGGGGGGTTGGGGGTGGGTGGGGGGGGGGGGGGTGGGGGGGGGGGTGGGGGGGGGGGGTAGGGGGGGGGGGGGGTAGGGGCCTGTTCCTCCACGGAAAAGCTGGCGGGGTACCCCCCCCCCCCCGCGTTTTGGGGGGGTAAGGAAGAAAGACCTTTTCCCATCCAACACGCCAGGGTCGGCGGACCCTAAGCCCTAAGCCCTAAGCCCTAAACCCTAAACCCTACACTTTAAACAAAACTATGGCAAGCACGTCTCGTACAAAGAAAGCGTCCGTGGAGAGAAGTCACCTCTCTCAAGTGCTTCTACTTGGAGGATCGGTATACTTTCCTTACTTACAACACCGCTTACGAAGTCCCCTGATCCTTGAAGTAGAATCAGCAAGCACGCGAAGTTCTGCATCTTTTGACGCTAAACCCTAAACCCTAAACCCTCAACCCTAAACCCTAAACCCTAAACCCTAAACCCTAAACCCTTAACCGTAGGCCCTCAACCTTAAATCCCAGGCAGTACTGAGATGGTGGAGTTTTGCTAGGCGGCCACCAATCATCTCTTTTTGGCATCCCGCAGACTGTGCGGACGCGCAGCGCATCCCCAAAGCCCTAAATTTAGGGTTTAGGGTTTGGGGTTTAGGGTTTGGGGTTTAGGGTTTAGGGTTTAGGGCTAGGAAAGCCTCCCCCCGAACACTGCTCAAAGGCTGGCGGGTTGGCATTTGGAGTGTGACCCGATCTAACAATGTACCTAAAGAGCACATGCTTGATCCTCAAAGTCATACTATCGGAAGTGCTTCGCAGCCTAGGTAAACCCTATGTTGGTACGTGGGCCCTTAGCTTATTTACTACCATTTGCTTAAGAACCCCCCCCCCCCGAAAAGAAAAATGCAATAAAACAAATAACAAATAAAAGAAAAATAATAATTCGAGAAATAGACATATGTATGTATATGTGTATATATATATATATGTAAGAACACAAAATAATCCGAGCACCTGTGTAATCAATACCCCCACATTTGAAGAGATTTTTTCGTCCGGAAGCCCGCCGGAAGACTACTTTCCATTAGGGTGGATTTCGTATGGGGATAACCCCCCACATTTAAAGAAAATTTTTCGGGGGGGTCCAAAAATCTGTCGGCAGGCTTCTTGTTTTGCTTGCGGAGATGCGAAGCTACAGCACCTCAGGGATCTGCAGCCTAGTGTCTTCAATAGAGAATCAATGCAGGGCCATGGTCCAATTATTGCGGAACCCTGTCTTCCTTATTGCGGTGGGGATTATAGGGGATTATTACCTTTCATTGGTAAACCGAATCCGAACACACCCCCAGGCACTGACCCTACTCTCCCATGCCAGGCGAACCCGGCTGTCTCGACGTCGCCTTGCAAGTACAAGGCCGTGGGAGTCGGAACTGCCTACCGCCAGGTTTCGGCTTGAGGATCTAACCCTAAACCCTAAACCCTAAACCCAAGACCCTACACCCTAAACCCTGAACCCTGAACCCTGAACCCTGAACCCTAAACCTAGACCCTAAAGCCTCAGGCCCCAATCCTTCAGCCTAAAGCCTAAAGCCAAAAGGCCACGGTTCAAGGTTTAGGGTGGTTCAGGGTTCAGGGTCTGCTTCTGGGCTGGCTGTATGGTCTAGGCAGCTGAAGGCACTTTTCTGAGAGGGTTAAGCCCTAAACCCTAAACCCTAAACCCTAAACCCTAAACCCTAAAGCCTAAACCCTAAAGGGTTTAGGCTAATCTCGAATCTTGCTTGGTTTTCGTTTCAGAGTTCAGGGCTGCTAGGGCTCTGATACAAGTGTTGCTTGGGACGTCGAGTTTCAGGGTTTAGGGTTTAGGGTTTAGGGTATGGGGTTTAGGGTTTAGGGTTTAGCATTGAGGTTGTCCCCTTGAAGGCTTAAACGACCCTGGGCAGAGGGTTGAAGGTTTGACTCTGGCGTTTTCCATAGGTTGAGGGTA